CGGGAGATGGAGGAGCTATTAAAGTATTAAGTCATCCACTATTTTGGCGCAGTTGCTGTTTTATGCCACGCCCCCCCCTTGTTACAAAATAACTGGCTAAGCACCACTGTTTTTTGGGTGTTTCTGACCGATACTTATTAATATTATGTGATTGAAAATAGGAAGAGTTTGGGGATATTTTTTTGGGACGAAACCAGAAATTGTTGCGGACCAACCGCCGATTTGAGGCCTGGTTTTCCGCAGGACAACCACGATTTTTTTTCTTATTTCGAGCACTGGCCAATGGCAATTGGCAACGTCTAAGAGCAGCACGTCACCTAGAATATAAAAGTTATCAGCAGGCCATCCGTCTGGCAGCTGGAAAAGATACGTTTAAGTGCGTAACACTCGTTGACAACCGCGTTTTTTGGCACATAGGCAGAAGGGAAAACTCGGGTCTGGTCTGGATCTGGATTCTGGATCGCGGGCCCGGAGTCGAGGAGAACCACCCTGACAGACGCCAGATGAAGTCCTCCCGAGAAAAGAGCGCTGGAGGTGCCACCGAGAAAGAACGAGAACCTGGAAGCAGGCAACAGATGCCCTCTCGCCCAAGCGCCCTGCTTCCACTCCGAGTCCTGCCCAAGTCTGCTTCAAAGTAACGGGAATTGCACGAGCGGTCCATGATGGCGAGAAAATCGTAAAATGTCGATGATGCTTGACGAACACTTTCTTTAGAAAAGTTCTTACTTGGCTCTTTCAAAATATATTACCGCCCTGATCGTAAGCATGTCTGCCTATTAATTAGCTCAATCTGACGTAGTCCGATGCAGCTTGTAGAATCGCCATGATCATCCCATCCGTCCGTCACAAGTGGCACAAAAATCTTAACGGCGCCGACGTAAATCGGTCACGATATTCGGGGACGTCGGGGGGGGGGGCGTGAGGAACTTCAGGATGACAAATGTGAGGGTCAAAACGAGGGTCAAAGGTCAAGATGTGTAAACGCGAGGGAATATTTCCCCCTTAAAGTGTGTATTGGCGAGATTTTCGCTTAGAAAAACTAAATATAGTTTGAATCATAGTCTCACCTGACAGCGAAATATCACTGATTACACCAAACATTAAAAATACTAATATTTTATGCAGTTATAGCATAGAAAATTGAATGAACTCATCGTAACAGCAAATGCATTTTAGTCGTGTCGCGATAATGCCTAATGGCAGAATTGGTAAAAACTGTATTTGTGTCGTGAATTTAATTGAAAACCAAAGTGCATGGACTTGAAGAGAGCCTTGTACTTTGTCGTATGGCAAGATAAAAGCGGTGGCGCCACTAGCTAATCCATACTTCCGGCTTAATTTCAAGAGACACCAAACGAGTTGTTTAGCAAACTAAGTAGTTGAAAACTGGCACTTTTTTGGTGAATACGAAAGGTGTTCTAAGACATTTGTATTGTTACTCTAGAACAATTGCTGTTTACTCAACAATAACGGTAGGGTGTCATGAAAGTGGTGAAAACACTGGAAAACTCTCGCAATAGTACTCTTTACCGGTATAGGAGGAAATACGGAATTGCGGGCACAAAATCTTAAGCGGCTGCGACGCTATGCTCTTAATAATTTGATGTATAGTGTGATGGCAAGGAAACCCATCACCGGAGTGCGAAATCTGAGGTCCCAGGTCAAAGCAGTGGGGACAGGTCAGATAATCAGACTTTTTCTGAGGACATGGAGCCTAATGATACAGATTGAACAAACTGTTTTTGTTTATAGCGCTGACCTAAGTGTCCCAATTTTTATCACTTTAATGAAAGGACCATGAATCGTGCTTTCCACTGACAATGTGATGAGTAAGGTCTGATAACCTTTTCAAACCCTCAAGAGGAGGGTTAAAACATGGATTCCTGAACTTCCTCAATGACGTCACAGTGTTGTCCATATTCAATGGCACGATCCATAAATCTAGAAACAGCAATAAGCCTGGAATAGGCCGAGACGTCATACAAGCAGCAGGCGTCACGGCTCAAAAGTCCGTTGATCGAATTCCCATCTATTTTTTATTATTTACCTGTTTTCTGTAATTATTTCTATCTTTATCCATTTAAACTATTTTTTTTCCAAATTATTCCAAAAACGCAAATATTTACATTATTTATTTACAATAATTTTTTATCAACAAATTCATTTATTTATTTTTAATAGGGTTTGAATGAGTTTATGGTCACAATCACCATAAAACGGGAGTTTCAGGCACGCGATTTGTATCAACCAATGGATTTGGAGTATGGCAGAATGGGCAGAAGTTGCTGAAATGATGTGTACCAACTGCGTATCTGCATATTCTGCGCCTAAACAGAAGGTCAACTTACGCACGACTTAAATGTTACGTTTATAAACCGTAGCCAACAGACCTCAGATGAGCCCAGACGCTCTGCGGCTCTTGTTTAACCTAGGCAGGATGCATTCCCACTTCATCGCCGCTATTTTGTCAATCATAAATGGAACTTGCCTGCTTGCCTGGGTGTAGGGTAAAGGTTCTAGCACACAGCGCGACATCCGGGGAACTGGCAGTAAGCAGAACCGGGCAAAGCCACGAAAAACATATGCTCGAATCTGGTGTTCATAGGCAGCGTCTAGACGCCGGAAAATCCACACTCATGGGCATGTTCTTTACAGCTTGGTCAGGTAAGACAACATATGTCAAAGTGCCCATCAGGGCGGGTCTGTGGTTATTCTGCCTGTGCTATTGGTTAGTTTCCTGCAAAAAACTAGAACAAATAAGAGCATCAGCGTCACGCTGTTCGCATATAGTCCAAATTGCTGAGCTCCGCTAAAAAGCGTGTCCTGCGAACGAAAAGAGTGTGATCTATATTGATGTGCATGTTATAGGTATACACTAGTGTAACTCTAACTATTTTAATACGCTAATCGTTACACC